GGTCCTGAAACTTCTTCCCTGTCCTCCCTGGCTGAGCTCAAACCCCTGCATAGAGGGGGGGCTGTGCTGGCAGAGGTGGGGAAAGGCAGGGTGGGAGCCCAGATCCCTTTGAGGGACCCCTCAGCCCCTGCCTCCTGATTTTTCTGTCTCTCTCAGCAACAGTCAGCGCAGCAGTTGTCCCCAGCACACCCATCTTCAGCCCCACCATAGGTGGGGGCAGCAATAGCTCCTTGAGTCTGGATTCCGGAGGGGCTGAGCCAATGCCAGGTGGGTACTTGAACTCTGACCCTCCTTCACCCCTCCCTCAGCCTCTCACTATCCCTAGGAGACCCTGTCTACCTCCCCAGCAGGCGAGAAGAGGAAACTCCCAGAGAACCTGACTCTGGAAGATGCCAAGCGACTGCGTGTGATGGGCGACATTCCCATGGAGCTGGTCAATGAGGTCATGCTCACGATCACAGACCCGGCCGCCATGCTGGGGCCGGAGGTGGGCCGCCCCACTTGCTGACCCAAGGGGGGCGGGCCTCATCCCCTGAGACCTGGCTCACCACCCCTCCTCTGGTACCCAGACCAGCCTTCTGTCGGCCAACGCAGCCCGGGACGAGACAGCCCGCCTGGAGGAACGCCGCGGCATCATCGAATTCCATGTCATCGGCAACTCGCTGACGCCCAAGGCCAACCGGCGGGTGTTGCTCTGGCTCGTGGGGCTGCAGAACGTCTTCTCCCACCAGCTGCCGCGCATGCCCAAGGAGTACATCGCCCGCCTCGTCTTTGACCCGTGCGTCCCCAGCCCCAGGGCCCCCACCCGGTGGCTCTCCTTGGCCTCCCTACCCTCCCTGCCTCTTCCGCCACCCCTGAGGGTTCTTGCTTCTCGGTTCCCAGCACTGAATGTAGCTCAGGCCTCCGGGCCTGTGGGACCCTCAAGAGCATTTGGGGGACAAGTTGGAACTGTGACTGTCCTTTTTTCCCCTCAGGAAGCATAAGACTCTGGCCTTGATCAAGGACGGCCGGGTCATTGGTGGGATCTGCTTCCGCATGTTTCCTACCCAGGGCTTCACAGAGATTGTCTTCTGTGCTGTCACCTCAAATGAGCAGGTCAAGGTGAGTGTGTGCCCCCAGCCCCCCACCTGCTTGAGTGTGGACCAGGCCTGAGCAGGAGGGATGGTCATGCACCCGGCACTTCTTCCAGTGGCCCGACAGTTCCTCACGCCCCCACTAGGTGGCAGTTGCACTTTGACGGCTGTGGGTTGAGAAAACACCTGTTGTCAAGTGGGCCCAGGACATGTTTAAATAGCCCTGAATTTTCTTCATCTCAAAACGTTCCCATACCTTGGGGAGTTGATTTTTGCATTAGCCCTTCACTGGGTGCTAGTCCTGGTTTCTGTCCTTCCACCACACACCACCTGGCGTTCCTTGGTTCTTTTGTTGACATAACCCAGATCTGGAGGGTGCCTGGGGGCCCAGACAGCTGTCAGAGGCAGAGCTCCTCCTCGGGGTTCAGAGACTCTGATGAGTAGGCCCCTTGTCACCCCGCTTCCGCCCACTTCCGAGCCTGTGGCCAGCAGCTTTCTGACGGGGCTTGGGTCCTGCCCCGCCGTGGCTGGCGCCTGCCATTGAACATGTTTCCTACATGGCTGAGTTTCAGTTTTTCCTTTTGTGACGTGAAGGTAATAATACCTACCTCATGGGTTAACTTGAAAACTGGTTTGTAAAGCATCATCCTTGGCACCTGACCCAGAGTAAGTGCTTAGAAACCAGCATCCTTCACTTTCCTCCCATAAACCCTCCTTCCTCCACTGCTCACCTTCCTCCTACCTGCCCTGGATCCCTCAGCTCACCCCACCGCAGCTGCAGTCCGCCCCCTCTTCTCAGTTGGCCAGCACCAGGCCCACCTGCTCCCCTCCCCCACAGGGCTATGGGACTCACCTGATGAACCACCTGAAGGAGTATCACATCAAACACAACATCCTCTACTTCCTCACCTATGCTGATGAGTACGCCATTGGCTACTTCAAAAAGCAGGTGACCCTTGCCACACCCCACACCTGCCTGCTGGGTGTTGGGGGTCATTCTCTATAAACCCCTGGTGTGGATGGACTGGGAGTCCCTTCCTGTCTTCTGCTCTGTCTGCCACTTGTGGGGAGTGAGTCATGCCTGTCTTCCTCCGGCTGCTGCCCGGGTGAAGGATTGGGTCGGGACAGCAGGAGAAGGCCAGGTTTGGGAGGCTCCTGGGGTGAATCAGGAGGGACAGCTGACCTGACCTTTGAGTCCACACAATGCAGAGCATGCTGGGACACAGGATGGCTCAGGAATCTGAGAGGGGATGTGTGCTGGGGAGGGCTGTGGAGTTGGAAGGGCGTCAGCCAGGCCTCACTGACGGATTGGCCACAACGCCCACTCCCTAGGGCTTCTCTAAAGACATCAAGGTGCCCAAGAGCCGATACCTAGGCTACATTAAGGACTATGAGGGCGCAACACTGATGGAGTGTGAGCTGAATCCCCGGATCCCCTACACGGAGCTGTCCCACATCATCAAGAAGCAGAAGGAGGTGTGTGTGGTGTTTGTGCACACATTGGTCAGGGGGCTTTTCTAGAATGTGCGTGTGGGCTGAGCACATGTGTGTGTGTGTCTGTGGGGTGTGCACATGTACAGGTGTGGGGAGGGGCCAGGATCTTGGTTCTTGCCCTGCCTCTTGAGGTTTGGGTGGGAGATACCTGGACTCAGTGGCAGGGGCTCTGGTTCTGATCCTGGGGGTCCAGTTTGCTCCTGGGCTGGAGTTGACCCCTCAGGCCCTCCCCTTAGATCATCAAGAAGCTGATTGAGCGCAAGCAGGCTCAGATCCGAAAGGTCTACCCCGGGCTCAGCTGCTTCAAGGAGGGTGTGAGGCAGATCCCCGTGGAGAGCGTCCCCGGCATTCGTGAGCAGGGGTCTTGGCGGGGAGGTGGTGCCCCGCTCGGGGTGCAGACAGGCATTCTTAGTGATGCTCTCTTTACTCCCCACTTTGCAGGAGAGACAGGCTGGAAGCCACTGGGGAAGGAGAAGGGGTGAGTGTTGTGTGGAGGGGGAGGGAGTTGGGGAGGCAAGGGGCCCAGGCCCCTCAGACTCAACATCTTTCACCCCAGGAAGGAGCTGAAGGACCCTGACCAGCTCTACACAACCCTCAAAAACCTGCTGGCCCAGATCAAGGTGGGGAGACCAGGTTCCCTTCTGGGGGTCCCTAGTCAGTGGCTGTGCTGCAGGACCCAGTCGGGTGGGTGGCAGGCACAGTGGGCTCGGGGCACAGCGGGCCTGACCCCATCTCGGTTCTCCTCTCCAGTCGCACCCCAGTGCCTGGCCCTTCATGGAGCCTGTGAAGAAGTCAGAGGCCCCGGACTACTATGAGGTCATCCGCTTCCCCATAGGTGAGGAGCCTCCATCCTCACCCCTTCCCTGGCTCCTGCTCTCGGGGCCACACAGCCCGTTGTGACCTACCCCCTGGACAGCCCCAGCTGTTCTCCTCAGCCTCCGAAAGGGCTCCCCTCTCTCCCACTGCCCAGACCTGAAGACCATGACAGAGCGGCTGCGTAGCCGCTACTACGTCACCCGGAAGCTCTTCGTGGCCGACCTGCAGCGAGTCATCGCCAACTGCCGGGAGTACAACCCCCCCGACAGCGAGTACTGCCGCTGCGCCAGCGCCCTGGAGAAGTTCTTCTACTTCAAGCTCAAGGAGGGGGGGCTCATCGACAAGTAGCCCCGGCTCCGGACCTCAGCCTCGACATGGAATGTCTTCGCCTCGGCTTCTGATCTGATCCCCGGAGCCCAGGTCCCTTTTGGCTTGAGTGCTGCAGCCCGGGCCGTGTAACCCTTTCTGAACCCTCAGTCAGCAGCTCTGTCCCACCCTTGTGTCTCACCTTGGGGAGCTGTTCCTGGGTCTGAGGGATGGGCCAGAGGATGAACCCAGAGATGACCCCAGCCCCTGTCCCCTTAGAGCTGTGGTATCTTGGAGGCCGGGCCTGGCCCAGGGCGCTGTTTCCTCGAGGGCAGGACTGCCAATTTCAGCTAGAGTAAGGGGGCTGCAAGGGCTGGAAGTTCAACCCGGAGTGGAGGGGCCATGCCTCACCCTGCACTGTTCTGTCGGTCTGTCCCCCCCAGAGGTGGGGGACATGGGGACCATTTGTTTCCTGGCATTAATCCCTTGGAGGGAACAATAAAGTTCTTTTTTTTTCTCTGTGTGATCCTTTCTTCCATAGAGCCCCCAGTTAGCAGGCCAACCCTGCGCCCCCGCACCTCCTGCAAGCTAGACCCTATGAAGCTTCGGGTGGTGCGGGGCTGCCCTGCCCTGCAAGCCTCGTTCATGCCTAACCTGGTGCTCTTGTTATAGGGCAGGGAGAGGGGCAGCCCAAGCCCCGCAAACCTGCCTATTCTAAATGGGTTCTGCCATCCGCCGCATCAACACAAAACATAGGAGACTTTAATGGGAAGGAACTTTAATTAGGAAACAATACAGGAAAGGCAAAGAGTCTAGTTTCTAAATGAAGCACCCAAAGTTACCCGTCCCATCGTGGGTAAAAGTCCATCCATATGGGATCGGCCCAGAACAAGGCCCCAAAGCCTGCCACAAGTCTAAAGCATCTTCCAGTGGGGACCCACAGAAAAGGGTCACAAACAACCGGACAAGCCCGGAAGGAAAAGAGCAAAATCAACATCAAGATAAAAGCTGCCATGGTCACCTCCCCACGGGTCTCACCCACATCTGTGTCACCCAGTCCACGACCAAAAGACAAGCGCAGTTTCTTCACGTGTCTCTAGGCTCCACGCGCCTCTTCCAGGTCTCCTGGCTCCATCCTGCTTCCTTCCTCAGTCTCTTCTGCAGCTTCTCCTCTTCCTGCTCAGCTCCACCCTCCCTTGGGTGGGGCAGGGAACCTCCCCCTTTCCTGGGGACCACCCTGTTACAATCTGGGCTGATGGGACCTGCCTTGCAGCTGGTGGGGTGTGTGTGGAGGGGAGCGCTGAGGGGAGAGGCGGGTGTGGGGGGTAGGAGAGAGGAGTAAAGACCTAGAAAGATGGGGTGTTTTGTTGTCAGCGTTTGACGGCAGAGGAGGGATAGTCCTAAGGTCATGTCCGCTGGACTGGCTCCTCCCCCTAGTTTCAGTTTCCATTTCCCAGCTCCGCGGAGCTGAGCAGAGCCGAGTACAGGCTAAGCCACACAGGGGCTCCCCGCGGCGGGCCACTGACAGCAGGTACAGTAGCTGGTGTCACTCCTGTCTCAGCTGTGGCCAGATCAGGCTCCTGGTCAGTGCCTATGATGCCCCGTTTCACCTCCAGCCACATGGAGCCCCTGGCAACGGCAGTTTCTTCACCTGGGCTGGCCAGGAAGGGGGTGGGGGGGGGCGTGTTACCTCTGAGGGGTCTATTCCTGGGGGGGACCAGGGGTCTGAGGCCCCTGCCCGGGAGGGGGCTGGGGATTTGAGGCCCCTGCCTGGGAGGGCCCGGGGGTCTGAGGCCTCTGCCCTTCCTAGAATGGATCTGCGACCCTACCAGTGGGAGGTGATCATGCCTGCCCTGGAGGGCAAGAATATCATCATATGGCTGCCCACCGGCACTGGGAAGACCCGGGCAGCTGCTTATGTGACCAAGAGACACCTAGAGACGGTGCAGGGAGCCAAGGTGGTTGTACTGGTCAACAGGGTGAGTGGCCTCCCTGCCCTCAGTGGGACCTCAGCTCCTCTGGTGCTTCCAGAGTGGCTGCGGCCCTTGCTAAGCTCATCCCTTCCATCTGTGGCGCCACCCCGCCCCCCTGACTCACCCAAGGTCCACTCCTGCCTCCTCCACTCCCAGGTGCACTTGGTGACCCAGCACCGTGAGGAATTCCGCCGCATGCTGGACAACCGCTGGACCATTACCACCCTGAGCGGGGACATGGGGCTGCGAGATGGCTTTGCTTACCTGGCCAAGACGCATGACCTGATCATCTGCACAGCTGAGCTGCTGCACATGGCGCTGAGCAGCCCCCAAGAGGAGGAGCATGTGGAGCTCAGTGGTGAGCGCTGCGGACAGGGGTCCAGGGTATACACCTGAGGATGCCCGCCTGCCAATCCCAGGGTACCTCTTCTGGTAAAGGTGCCAGAGAATCTGTGGGACTGGGGTTCCCCACTCACCACTCCCCAGCATACACCCTAGTAGAAACAGACCTGGCAATAGTGCAGGATCTTGGGCAAGTCCCTTTCCCAGCTGAGCCTCAGTTTACTAATCCATGAAATGGGGGTAAATCATCCCCACCTGGTCCTTTCTCAGGGCCCTGACTACAAATTGTGATGGGGGGAAGGAACTGATGGTGAATTGTGGGGACTGTATGAGACAGCAGAGGGCGAAGGGCTTTGCATGCAGGTCACAGCCTCCCTCCTGTACCCCAGCCTTCTCCCTACTCGTGGTGGATGAGTGTCACCACACACACAAGGACACTGTCTACAACATTATCTTGAGCCGGTACCTCGAGCATAAACTCCAGAGGAAGAAGCCCCTGCCCCAGGTGCTGGGCCTCACAGCCTCTCCGGGCACTGGTGGGGCTTCGGGGCTCAGTGGGGCCATCGACCACATCCTGCAGGTCAGTTTGGCCCCTGTGACCCTGCCACCTCCCACCCACCAGGGACTTCCCAATTCCCTCCCCACCCACCCTGCCCAGGCTCCCCCACACAGGGGCTGGGCCCTTCCTCACCTGTACTCCAGGCCTCCTCCGGTGGCTTCTTACTGCACTTAGAATAAATTCCCTTCCCAAGTCTTTACTCCGGGCTTACAAGGTTCCAGGTGATCTAGCCCCTTCCTACCTGTCAGCTTCGTGCCCTAAGTGCTCCCACTCGACTACTGTGCTGGCTTCTTTCTCTGTCTTGAGCGTGTCGGAATGGTTCTCATTCCAAGGACCTTGCACTTGCCATTTCTTTTGCCCTGAATGCCGCCCCCCTCCGCCCCTGGACTTCACCTGCCTGGCTCCTTCTTGTCATTGAGAGGAAAGCTTAAATGTCACCTCTTCAAAGTCCCTGATTACCCTCCCCACACACAGTCTACCATCTCATCCAATTTTATTCTCTTCTGAGCTCCTGAAATCCTCTCATTCTGTCGCTCAGTACTGGTTTATCATCTGTGCCCTGTACATAGAACAGCACCAGGCACCAAGGGGGTGAGCACGGAATACTTGTTGAATGAATGAATCCCCATTCCCCAGTGGCCCTTCCTCAGGCTCTCCTTTCCTTGGCCGGGACCCATCCTGTCCCAAAGCTCTGCCCATTGTCCCCCCAGGACTCACCCCACTGTTCCAGCGAACCCCTTTCTGTTGCCACAGCTCTGTGCCAACCTGGACACCTGGCGTATCATGTCACCCAAGAACAGCCTTCCCCAGCTGTGGGAGCACAGCCACCAGCCCTCCAAGCAGTATGACCTCTGCCAGCGGCGGAGCCAGGTGTGGGGGAGGGGCAGGGCTGGGGTGGAGTCTGGTGTGAAGTTCTAGTCCCTGGGGGTTGAGCTCCGACCTCATCCTCACTAGCTGTGACTCCAGATTGCTTTCTTATGTATCCGAGCCTCCCTTGCCCCTGCCTGTGATACGGTTGACTCCCCTGTGGGCATCTGTCTAAACCTTGGGTATGACGGAGAGTTCTTTGCAAACGAAAAAGCTAGGTCACTTTACCCTGAGGCTGTTCCAGGCTCCTGTGGACACTGCCTGGTGTCTGCTATGATGGGGCTGGACAAAAACTAGACGGGACTGCTCAGGTCAGAGGTGTAGGACACGTAGAGGTGGAGATAGGACAGGAGTCTGGTGCAGGGACCTGACCTTTGCCTCCAGCTAGGACCCCTTCACCCCCAGCTGCCTTCCCTGGAGCTCACTTCTCTCCAATACCAACTTGACAGGGCGAGGAGGGATGAGGGTAGCCGTGCAGAGATCAGTGTGTGCTGGGGGCGCCCTGGCCTCCTGGGTGCCCATTCTGGGATGTGGGTGGAAATCCCCTCACTCTTCTCTTCCAGGACCCATTTGGGGACATGATTAAGAATCTCATGGACCAAGTCCACGACCAACTGGAGATGCCGGAGCTGAGCCGGGACTTTGGGACACAGACATATGAGGGGCAGGTGGTGGAGCTGAGCCGAGAGGGTGAGAGGGCTCCGCAAGCCGCGCAGGGCGGGGCTGAGTCGGCCTGGGTGGTCTTTTCTGGGCTACTGAGTCTGGGCATGAAGAGGCTGGACAGCGCACCTTGGGGGGGGCCTGGCCCCTGTCTCCCCATCCCCGCTGCGGCCCCCCTAAACTTCCCATCCTCCACCCAGCCCCCCTAATCTCAGCCCCCACCACACCCCCTGCTAAGTGACCTGAGGGGTGAAGGGGGCGTCTCCGACCCTGCCCCCTTGGCTGTCCGCAGCGGCCGAGGCCGGGCTCCAGCAGCGGCGGGTCTACGCGCTTCACCTGCGGCGTTACAACGATGCGCTGCTCATCCACGACACGGTCCGCGCCGTGGACGCCCTGGCCTTGCTGCAGGATTTCTACAACCAGGAGCGTGTCACTAAGGCCCACATCCTTCACGCTGAGCGCTGGCTGCTGGCGCTGTTCGATGGTGAGAAGGGCAGGGAAATGGACTAGCTGGCAGGGAGCAGCCCGGGCACAGGCACCAAAGCAGGTTGGGAAGGTGGCGCAGAGCATAGTGGGGTCCTATTTTTCTCACCAAAGGGCAAGAATATGACAAAGGATGTATGTCCTCATTTTGTGTGTCCCAATTATATGAGCATTTCTATGTCTGAGCTTTGTGAAGGTTTACAGACATATGAAGCTACTAGCAAAGAGGTTTTTTTTTTATTTATTTATGCATACAAGAACTGGGGTGTAGGCCAGAGGTGCGGGGCCGAGGGGGGAAGGTGTGTGTGTGTCAGAGGATTCACCAGACACAGAGTGGGGAACAGAACAGGCTGATCTCCTGAAGTACACTGCTGAGGGGAGCAGCAGGCGAGACAGGAGAGGTCTGCTGCTCCATGTGGGTTAGCTCACTGGCCAGGGATCGAACTCATGCCTCAATGGCTGGTGATAGCTTGATAGCGCTGAGACTTTAACCGCTGCACCACCACGGAGGCCCAATGCTTATTAATTTTTTCAACCTGAGAGATGCTGATTATTTTTTTTTAAAGATTATTTATGCATACAAGAACTGGGGTACAGGCCAGAGGTAGCGGGTGGTGGGTAATGAGAGGATTCACCAGAGACAGAGTGGGGAGCAGAACAGGTTGATTGACTGAAATACACTGCTGAGGGGAGCAGCGGGTGAGACAGGAGAGGTATGCTGTGCCATGTGGGTAGTTTCCTGGTGGGGGATCGAACTCATGCTGCAGTGGCTGCAGATAGCTTCATAGTGCTGAGACTTAACCCCTTGTGCCACCAGGGAGGCCCAGCAAAGAATTATTTTTTTAAAGCATTTAGTTGGAACTGTCACTGAAGGTCTGGAGTATATGAGACCCTTAAACTGGACAAGTGAGGTGGTCAGAAGGTGAAATTCAAAGTTGAAGGCTTCAGCAAAAGTTGGGGAGCAAGACCTGAGGTTAAATCAGTCCTGAGGAGAGGAGGTCAGCATGAAATGGTGAGGGCCTCCTGGCAGCTGGCAGAAGAGGGGTGCGGGGTGAGGCATGTGAGCATGGACACCATACTGTAGGCCCCTGGTGTAAGGCTGGCTGCCTTGAGGCTGGCCTGGCAGAGTGTCTGTAAGTGTGCTCTTGCGGGGGCTGCCCAGGGGGAATTAGGCAAGAGCGGGCACCCTCTGGTCCCTTTCTTGCTCCTGCAGTCCTATCCCTGTGAGCTCACAGTACGCCCTCCAGCTCCTGCCCAGCTCTCCTCCAGCCCTGAGATCTGTTCTTCGGCTTTGGGCTTTTTTGCAGACCACAAGAATGAACTGACTCGACTGGCAACTCAGGGCCCAGAGAACCCCAAATTGGAAATGCTCGAACAGATCCTGCAGGAGCAGTTCAGGTGCCCCGACAGTCGCCGGGGCATCATTTTCACCCGGACGCGCCAGAATGCTTCTTCCCTCCTGCTCTGGCTCCAGCAGCATCCCAAGCTGCAGGGAGTGGACATCAGGGCCAAGCTGCTGATCGGGGCTGGGAACACCAGCCAGAGCACCCACATGACCCAGGTGTGGGCTTCGAGGACAGGGTCTGAGGCTGGGAAATTGTGGGGTGAAGGGATGGGGTCTTTAGCATGCAGAGATGGGGGCAGGGAGAAGGGTGTTGATTATTCTCAGCCAGAGGGGCAGAGAGCTTAGGGAGAGAGGTGGGCACTGAAATCCCCAGGTTGGGGGGCATGGTCCCTAAGTGTCTCTCAGGAAAGAGGTGAATGATATAGATTATATAGATCCTCAAGATAGAGTATCAGAGGTCTGAGGCTCCTTGAGGGAGAATAGGTCCTAGGGGTTCCTAGACCGGAGGAGCAGGGGTCCTTAAGAGTCCTTAGGAAAAATAAGGGTTAGATGGTCACCTGTGGAGGCGGGAAAATCCTGGGGAGGAAGGTGGGGCAAGTCTGAGAGTGAAGGTCTGAGAGGCTGGACTGAGGGAGGATGGGCAGGACCCACGCACCTATCGTCCCCTTTCTCCACCCTCCCTCCCCCCCACAACAGAAGGACCAGCAAGAGGTGATCCGGGAATTCCGGGCGGGCACCCTGAACCTCCTGGTGGCCACGAGTGTGGCGGAGGAGGGGCTGGACATCCCCAGCTGCAATGTGGTGGTGCGCTATGGGCTGCTGACCAACGAGATCTCCATGGTCCAGGTGCCCAGCCCCTCCTACCCCTACCCCTGCCCTTACCCCCATCCCTAATAGCCCTTGAAGGATCCTGGGTGGGACCCCAACCCCACTCAGACCCCTCCCTTATTTCTCTCCAGGCAAGGGGCAGGGCACGGGCTGATCACAGCATTTACTCCTTTGTGGCAACTGAGGGCAGCCGGGAGCTGCGGCGGGAGCGGACCAATGAGGCCCTGGAGAGGCTGATGGAGGAGGCAGTGGCTGTGGTGCAGGCCATGGACCCGGCCAAATACCAGGCTAAGGTCTGTGGTCAGCCTGCGTGTCTGCAGGGGCCTGGGGTAGGCTGGGGGTCCTGAGGACACTGCCTGGAAAGTCCGAAGCACCCACGGTACACTCCTGTTCCCCCCTCCTCCAGAACCAGGGCTTAATCAGCCCCCTGTTGTCCAGGATCACCGTGATCCAGCCTTGTCCAGGAGGGTTCTTTCCTCCCACTGTCCCAGCATAATTACTAATGATGTTAATGTTAGATCCAAGCAGGCACTTTTAAAAATTGGATTTTATTTTATTTTTCTATTGAAACAACATTACATTATGACATAATTTTCAGGTGTGCATTACTGAAAACCAACATGTGTATGCACTACCTTCCGTTTACCACTGAAAGCAAAGAAACAGCTTGGCATGAAATCCTCCAAAGAGGGAACAGGGATTCAGTGAGACTCTCCCCACGCCCACCATCAGGCCTACCCCAATATTATTTTCACACTCAGAGCTGTTTCCCAAAGCCCCGGGAGGTGTGAGCAAAGTCCCTTCCGTTTACTAGTGACCTGAGCCCTCTGTCCCCTGGGAGCATCCCTGGGCTCAGGGCTCTTGGACTCCAGCCTGCCTGGTGTCGCCTCCTCTCAGATCCGGGACCTGCAGCTGGCCGCCCTGGGGAAGCGGGCAGCCCAGGCGGCCGACCGGGAGAAGCGGCAGCAGCAGTTCCCGGCGGAGTACGTGCGGCTTCTCTGCATCAACTGCATGGAAGCTGTGGGCCATGGGAGCGACCTGCGGAAGGTGGAGCGCGCCCACCACGTCAACGTGAACCCCAACTTCTCGTGAGAGCTGTGGAATGGGTTGTCAGGATGAGGGCGTGTGAGGGACTGAGAAGCCCTCCCATCCAGACAGCACTTTGAGGGCTGGGGAGGTTAAAAGGGCATTTTCACAGCAGTCCAGTTAGACTGGTTTTTATCACCACCCCGTTTTACAGGTGAGGAAGTAGAGGCTCAAAGAGGCTGTGACTGGCCCCAGCTCTGCAGTCACTATATGGTTGAGCAAGACTAGGATTCAGGGCAATGCCAAGGGACCACAGACTGGCCTCCTGGTCCTGCCTACTCTGAACACAGAAGAGGAGCTGGTTGTCCCTGAGTCATCTCCTTTTCCTCTGCCCCCTACAGAGTAACTGCCCATCCACCATCCATTCATTCACTCAGTAAGCAATTATTAGACACCAACTGTATGCCAGGTCACGGTACCAAGGATTTCCATACGGGTGCTCTCATTTGAAGAGAGAGCATTTTGATCGGGCCTTGAAGGAAGGATTATTGCGCTAGAATATGAGAAGATGAGGATAGAAGGATGAGGCAACAGGAGTGATTCTTAGTTATTTGAGAGGGAGAAATCATGAAGGATGAGGTTCTAAAGAAAGACAGAGTAACCTGTGGAGGAGATGAAGGTTGGGCCAGAAAGTTTAGCCTTTGCCCAGTAAGTAGTGGAGAGTTCCTGGGTGGATTTTGAGCAAGGGAATGTTAAGGTCAGATTCCCGTGCTTAGATCACTCCAAGGAGCTGGGAGTAGGAAGGAAGCAGGGAGATCCACTGGAAAACTTGAAATCATCCAGGTCGGCAGTGCTGAGGGTTGAATTTGGGCTGAAGGAAGTGGAATAGAGATGGCACGGGCAGAGTGTACTGAATTTCCTGGCCCCTGTGCGGGCAGGCCCAAGGTCTAGGAAAAAGGATAAGCAAGAAAGGGGGTATGAGATCTGGGGTTGGTGGGAGGGGGGCAGGGGGTCCCTGAAGACTGTGACCACTTCCGTTCTCTCCAGGATCTACTACAGCATCTCCAAGCAGCCCGTGAACATTGGCAGAGACTTCAAGGACTGGTATCCTGGGGGTGCCATTAGCTGTAGGAACTGTGGGGAGGTAAGTGCTTGGCCAGAGCCCTCAACTCCAGTCTTTAGAAGTCCTCAGTTGAGGGTGGTGGTCCACTGCATCTCAGGGAGCCCGCAATGTGATGGGGGAGATAGCTGTCAGTGTGAAGTGGGAGACCCCTCAGACTTCTTCCTGCATGTCATGGAACCCCAGCCTGAGGAGAGAAGTCCAATCCCATGGCAGAACCCCAGACCCAGTTGTCTCTGTCCCACTCCAGGTCTGGGGTCTGCAGATGATCTACAGATCAGTGAAACTTCCAGCACTCAAAGTCCGCAGCATGCTGCTGGAGACGCCTCAAGGACGAGTCCAGATCAAGCAGTGGTCCCGCGTGCCCTTCTCTGTGCCTGAATTTAACTATGTGCAGTACTGTGCCCAGCTAGACAAGGACTTCTTGGACTGACCACCTTCCTGCTGCAGTAACAGGTTGAGGCTGCAGGGGGCAGAAGAATCCACAGCAGCCACCCTCTTCCCCTGAGCAAAGCCGGGTCCAGGCCCCTCTAGCCTGAGTCATCAGCTACCAGCCCGGTGCTGAGCAGCCCGGAGGGAACTGTGACTGCTGTGGACGCCCTCACTGAGGAAGCAACTGGAAGGCCACAGCTCAAACCAGACCCTTCTCACACTCAGATACTTTGTGTGGATGGCGGTAGGGTGGAGACTGAGGCAGGAGACTCAGCGTCCTGGACTATATCAGGAATCTCCCTCAGCATTCTCTCCCTGCCAAGACCACCTTCATTTTTTGAGGCTCCCATAAATTAAAAACAACAACAACAACAAAGAATGGAAAATTGGTGTAAGAAATGTATGGTATTTTTGAAACATCTGTTGCGGTACAGCGGACATAAACTGTCCATATTGACAGTGGACAGTTTGATCAATTTTCTCATGCTCCTCCAACAATCAAGATAACGAACATAACTGTTGCCTGTTTCATCGTCCCCCATGGCAATCCCTCCTTCCCAGCCCTCCACACCCCTCCACCTGCTTTGTAGAGCATTTTTAACACCAAGGCTTGTTTTTTTTTTTTTTTTAACACCCCTCTTTGGGGCTATCATGTAACCTTGTTTGAAGAGATTGTCCAAGCCCTAAATTTGAGTCACCAAGAATGTGAAGCCTTCCTACCCTGCTTACCCTATAAGGGGCTTCAACCCAATGCCCTTACCTCCATCTTCCCCTGACCCCCCGATCATTTTCCTGGGCTGGGGGAGGCTGAGGTCCAGGAAGTGTGGGGTGCACCTCAGGTAGACATGGGGGTGGAGGAAGTTATAGAGGCCTGAATTTTTTGTTCTCATTTTAGCAAAGAGAGAGAAAGGCAAGATCTAGGTTGATTCTTCAGGGAAAGGGCTATTTCTGTAGTAAGAGACCCAGCAGGCAGGAGTCACCTTCAAGAGGAAGGGAGGGGGCTAGGGCAGAGATTGGAGAGCAGAATGACGGTCCTTCCTGCCGTCTACCCTCTTCCTTCCTGCTGCATCCTGGGGCCTGCCTCAGGGCAGAGGGCAAATAATGCATCTCCCCTCCCGCAGCATCTTCTTAGGTCAGCCGACCTTTCTTCGGATTGAGGGTGAAACTTCAGTTCCAGTCTTTGGCCTTCATCCCTTCCAGAATGTGTGCCCATCGCCCCGAGCGCGTGGCGCTGCCTCACCTCCGGGGTCCCTTGGCCTGCCTCCAGGAGCCCCCTTCTCCCTCTCCTCCCGTCTCCTCCCCTGCCCTTTTTTCTGCCCAACCACTCCCCCACTTTACCCTCAGTTATCTCTCCTGCCAGCAACGTGCTTTTTACGGGTCAATAAAATGAGCGAGGAGGGGCAGAGGGAGGTGGGCAGGGGCCCAAGGGTGCTAAGCTCAGTGGCCTTGAATGCGGCTGGACGCACGGCGCCCGGACGCCTGTCATTCCAGGGCTAAACAGTGACAGCTGGGGGACCTGAGCTGGCATGGGGGGGCGGGAGGTGGGGGGGAGCTGCGTTGCAGGGAGAGCAATGGACTGGGGATAAGGGTGACCTGGGCACCTACCACAGGGCTCCCTCCACCACGGCCTAAGTGCCCGCACAGCTGCCCTGTGGACTTCAGCAAGGGGCGCGGGTGTCCTACCCCGCGTGGACCTTACCAGGCCAGGAGAGCTTTCTTGACCTCAGCTGGAAGGGACACTCAGGCAGGGAAGAGTTTCTTCTTGGGGTGAGGGAGCTTCCTATGGAGCCACCCTCGGGGCATGGATCCGGGCAAGGCTACCTGAAGGAGGCGGGGTGTTCACGACGTCCTGGGCCCCAGGTTTCCCCAGTCCTCAGAAAAGCTCAAGCTCCTGACCCTGCCAGTAGCCCGGATGCTTCCCTGCCCCACCCCCCCACCACCCCACCCCACCCCACCCCACCCCACCCCACCGCACCTCCACCCGCACCCGCACCCCCACCCCCACCTGGCTCTCCACCTGAGAAGCCCGCCCACCCCGCGCGGGCGAGACTCCGCCCCCAGGCCCCGCCCCCGCGCGGGCCCCGCCCCCCGGCAGCCCCGAGCCGCGGCGCCGGGCGCGGGGAGAGCAGGTGGCCGCCGCGGGCTCCGACTCTGTCCCGCAGGTAAGTCAGCGCCGCGGGCCGGCCCGCCCGAGCACCTCGAGGGCAGCGCAGGAGAACGAGACAGTTCCTTCTAGCTGCCCTGGACCCTCGTCTCAAAACTGGGGTACCCCAAGGGACAATAAGGTCGTCTCTCTGCCTCTGCCCGCCGACGCCGGGCAGTTAGCCGGGCGACGAAACTTCAGGGACGCTGAGAGGGTCCCGGCTGGCCATCCCTGCCTCCCGGGATGGGGCCGCGCGGAGGCTGAGGTAAGCGGCTTTCTGGAAAGCAGGTTGGGGCTGGTGAGTGCGGGGCTGCGGAGTAGGAACCTCATTAACTCGGCGCGCCCTGCGCCTCATCCAAGCTCGGCACCCTCTCTTCCACCCCCTCTTCGGGAGTGATGGGGTGACCCCCAGCGGCTTCTATCATGTGGGCAAAATGAGCTGCTGAGCCGCAGGGCACCCGATTATTTACTTACACCCGGGTACGGATGTGCATGGGCGAGGGGGGTAAGAGAGCAGGGACTGTCCCAGATGGCCTGGGAACCCGGAGAGCCTGGGACTGGGTCGATCCTTTCTGTGTCTATCTCTGTCTGTGGTGGGGGAGGCGATCACAGAAGTGTACCTTATTGTAGATGTGGGGCACACATGCCCTGTCCATGTTGGAATTTGGGCTGTAAGAAAGGGGTTCTGGGCCTCCCTGGTGGCGCAGGCGCTAGAGACACAGCACTATCAGCTATCACCAGCCCCTGCAGCACAAGTTCGATCCCAGGCTGGCCAGGGAGCTACCCACATCCCACATGGCGCAGCAGTCCTCTCCTGTCTTGCCCGCTGCTCCCCTCAGCAGTGTATTTCAGTAGATCTGCCCTGTTCTGCTCCCCACGCTCTCTGGTGAATCCTCTGAATCTTCCCCCTACCGCCCCGAACCTCTGGCCTACACCCCAGTTCTTGTATACATACATAAATAAATCTTAAAAAAAAAGAAAAAGAAAGGGGTTCTGCCACCCAGGACAGTAAGGAAGCCTTCCTAGGAGAGAAGGTCCTGAATGACAGCTCAGATGTGATGCTTAGAGCCCTGAGCTGCAGAGGAGAAGCAGACTTTGGATCTTGGCACTGGGTTGGGGTAGAGCAGAGGACCTTGGATGGTAGAACTGAGGGGGATCAGGCTGCTGCCACCTCCTTCCAGCCCTGGCCCCACAGACCTTCCAGAGACCATCACAAGCCAAACTCAGACCAAGATCCAAACTCAGGTGGGAGGGCTCCTGTGTCTGTCCAGTCCATTATCTCCTCCCTCCACATTCATTCTCATTGTCAGGAAGTTCTTTCTCCTATTTGAGTTCATCCTTTCTGCTTCTGTGTCAGCTTCTTTCTCCTGAGAGAGAGGCAACGCACTCAGGGTCCTTTGGGGCCAGTTACACTTGAGTTCTATCACCTCTACCTACCCTGTGACCCTGGGCAAATTCCTTAACCTCTAGGCTCACTTCCTCATCTGCAAAATGGAGCTAATAATAGAACCCACCTCCTGGGGTGGCTGCAAGAAGTCAACGAGAATACGCGCATGGAGTGCTCAGCGCAGGACTGGTGCCTGGTCAGGGCTAACAAGTATAAGTGCCACCTCATGTAGGACAGCAAAGCCCATCTGCGGGGGGCTGGGGGAAGGCTGGAAGCTTTTTTAAAACTTGGGCAGATCCAGCAGTGCCCTTCACAATCCCACCAGTCCCTGCCCCTGCTGCTTCTTGGATCTCTGTTGGACCAGTCTGGGTCCCCAAGGTCCCTCACCGTTCTCTTCGTGACCCTGGATTTTTTTTGTTTTTGTTTTTTGTTTTAGTCTCCAGGATGAGGAGCTGAGGGGGCAGGCAGCAGGCCAGGTACAAGTGGTAGCAGAAGCCAACATGTAGCTATATCTTGGGGAACTGATTCTAACTTAGAGACATAACCAGAAAAAAAAAAAAATACTCCATTGTCACCACCTCCCTGCCCTCTTACCTCCAGAAATCCACAAGTTGGGATCAAGCTGCACTGAATTTCCCCAAGATAAATAATACAAGTAACTGAAAATCCTGTTTGGGGATTGTCCAAGTCACCCTCTAGTGGAAAGACATCTTCAGTTCTCGGCCCGAGCTCTGCAGGCTGCCAGGAAGCCTGGGATGACCCGTTCCCTAGAGGGTATTTCTAAGGACTCGATCTGACCCTCCATGAGCTATACCTCTCCTGTGGGCTGGCATGCAGTAGGACCAAGGGGTGAGCCTGTGCACCCTTTTTGAGAACACACATCTGAGACATGTAGCTAGAGGTCCTGCCAGGTGCTCACCAGGTTGCTCCAGCCCATGCCAGCCTCCTCCCTGTCCTGTTCTCCTTGGGGTCAGTATGCACAAGCATGTACACCCCAAAGCCTGAGGGACAACTGAAGACAGCAGCTGTTCATAGGATGTTAGGGTAGAACTAGGATGTGGGGCTGATGAGCCCCCTGAGGCTCTGAAGAGGAGCTGGCAGTAGGAAGGCACAGGGATGGGGGGCAAGGGTTCGGGGGGTGCTTGCTGGGGCCAGGGTGGGAGTGGAGCTGTCTCTACTCACACAACATCATTCTGCAGAACTCCCAGGGGTCCCAAAAATCTAAACTGGAACTTTCTTCCAGGTCATTATGAAGGTGTATTTATGAAGGCGAAAGATTAAAACATGATCAACGTTTCGTTAGTGTGTTTGTAACTGTAAAGTGTGTAGACATGTGTGTGCGGATCCCATTTGTTCTCTTGCCCCAGGGCCTGCAAATGTTAGGGGTGACCTGGAAGTCTGCACCCAAAACCACCCTTTGGTGAATTCCTTCCTGCTCTCCCTGTCCCCTAACATATAGTAGCTCCCCGGTAAAATAGGCTTAGGACCCACCCACCTGGGCCAGGAGGGAGTTTCAAGGTGACATGAGGACTGTCAGCTGTCACCAACAAGCAGTCCCCCCTTGGGTCTGCTGACCTCATTCTCCACCCCAAAAGTGGAACAATTTTTTTAAAGTGTCCTGTGATGCTTGAGAGCGAAGGAATGGGGGTCGGGGGAGACGGGCTGCTGACTTTCTGAGCGTGGGGAAGGTGTCATCATTCCTGGGGCCCCTGGAGCAGGAGGGAGCTGGTGGGGCTGCAGCAGCAGGAGAGGTGGAAGCTAGACTGGGGGAAATTCAGGATCGGTCCCCAGCAGCCCTCCAGCTGCCCTGCTCAGAGGGAGCTGCGCCCGCGGCCCGGAAGGACCACGTGTCTGTAATATGGGTTCCCCTGTAAGTGTGGCTCTTGGGCTCGGGGAAGCATGTGGGGGCCAGCTGGCTGGGCGGTGGGAGTCATCCCTGGCGGGCATGAGTGCCATATTGGTCTCGACGGTCGTGGAGAGCCCTGTGGCTTCTGGACACACCGTCTGTTCAGGAGAGAGGGACGCAGCCTTTTGTGACTGTGGCTGACTCACTGGTTGATTGACTGGGCTGCTTGAGGACCAAACCTGCCCCCTTGGCCTCATTAGCACTGGAGGTGTTGGATGGAACTGGACGTGCACACACGCACGCTTACACGCCCGGACAGGCGTGCCGCCCTGCACTCACTCACGATTTCGCTGCACCAGCTCATGATGTTACAGTACCTCACAGCTGCATCCTCCAAACGCCGCCTCAAGTGCAGTCTCAGCTCCTGCCCTCACCACCTCCGCCACCGTCTCTCTCCGCTGCTGGTGACTTTTCGCTCACTCCGGGTGACCCGCCGGCTCCAACGGCCAGGCCTTGGCCGACTTGAGTGCGGCTGGGGGCCAGATGCTTGCAGTGGCTCTGCGCTGAGGACAGGAGCGACCCTGCTGCCCTCCTGGGGCTCCCCACAAACCCCGCCCAGCTCTGAGTCTCATCCCGCACGTCTCCAGGTCCCCAGTCTCTCCGTCCTTCTGTCTGTTCCGGCTGTAATTCTGTGAGTCTTGCTCTGCCTGTCAGCCCCTGAGCACGTCTGTCCCTGTGTTCCCTGCTCCTGGATAGCTTTTCCTGTGTCTTTTCTCTTCTTCCTCCTTTTTCTCCCTGTGTGTGTGTCTCTGTCTCTCTTTCTCCC